GGCCGGCGAGCCGTCGTCGCGCGGCGACCACGGGGCTCCGGCGCGTCGCTCGCCGAGGCCGCAGCCGCCCGGGTTGGCCTTGGCGAGCTCGGCGGCCTTGGGCAGGATGAGCCTCGAGGCCAGCGTGAAGCCCAGCACCAGACCCAGCAGGACGCTGAACCAAGCTCTCCGGCTCCGAGCCGCCATCGCTCCCGACAACCACGAAACTCAAATCCGACGAGGAAAGCCGCCGAGTGTCGGCCGCGCGCCTTCTGCGTCTCGCTCGCGGGTCCTCCTCCTCTTCCTCTTCTTCTTGTGCCCGCGTAGCATCCCCGAAACAAAAAAAAAAAAACGGCCCGCCCGCCTCCCTGCCGTCGGCCCGGCCCGATTCGACGCGAGTTGCCGGCGCCCGGTTTTGAAAAAGCGGCGGCTCGGCTATTTCGCCGTGTCGACGGCGCGGCGTCCGGCGTCAGAGTGCCGCCGCGCCCGAGCTTCGCAAGCTTCCGTACCAGGCGAGCGCGCTCTTCCCCGGCGGGCTCTCGAGAGGCGTTCACGTCACACGGGAAAAAGCACACTCGGCCTCGGGTCACGACCGCCCTCGCTTCTTTCGGGGCCTTCTTCATTGGACTCAACGATCAATCGTCGCGGTACGAAGTCGAAACGAAAACATCGGCAGGGATCAGGGGTCCAACTCAAAGGACACCGAAGACACTCGTACGTTTGGAGAGGAGCTTCCTTATTTTTCGAAAATACAAACGGGTCCCTTTCTTTCGGATGGACGAACGAAATGTGACGCCTTTGCAAATTCACGCTCGAGACCGTCGAACTTGGCAAGAAAGGCAATCGGATGAATTAGGCGGCATTCTTTATCAAGCGCTCTCCAACGCCCCGCCCCAAATAACCCTGCTTGCGACTAGGGTTGTTTTCCTTCGTTTTCATTTCACCCGCTCTCGGTTTGGCCCCACAAATCGAGTTGATTCTGAAAGCCAGAGAGAGAGAGAGAGAGAGCTTCTCCTTGGGATGCGTCGACGTGGAGTCCCAGTTTCCACTTGTACGGAAGCCCCCCAAACGCAGCACGAGTCAACTTCCGGGATGCTGGGTCGCCCGCGTTCCTCGACCAGACGAATAGACGGAAAAGTCTGTGGTGTTAATCCGCTTCTGTCCGGTGTGTTGTGTATTCGTTCAGCCAACATTTTAACAGGAAAAAAAGAATGTAGACCAGAGTTGGCAGGTTTTGTTTTATTGCTTCAACGTGGACAGCAAAAGAGGAAGGCTTTGTTCCGAGTCGAGAGGCCCGCTGCGAAAAGGGGACTTGCTCGCACGTCCTGCCTGTCCTGTGACATCTGGCAACTCTTTCGAAATTGGACGGGGAAAAAAAGGCGCATCCCCTTGAACTAAGCTGCGGGGTGTCATCATGACAAGTCTCGGGGATGTAAAACAACGAAGAAAAAGGCAGACACCAGACACTGACGTACATCAGCCTCACTCGCTGGCGGGCAACCATTTCCGAGTGCGGCGTCATCCCGAGCTGGCAGCCGCGCCTGGATGCGACACGCTAATGCCAACCTACGCTACAGTGAACCCTGCCATTTTAGGAGTTTGGAGAGGAGTTTTTTTTTTTTTATCGCCATTCATCTTTGGTGTCCCGGCTCACACATTTTCAGGTGTAACCCCCCCCCCTTTTTGTTTTTTAAACACAGCATAGAGGCTTGTATGGCGCACACTCAAGTATTATACGCAATCACCTGCCAAAAGCGGACTTTCCGATGCGCTCGTGTATTTATCTGCTCCCCGATTTGCTGCAAGTATTCTTTGGATAGCAATGTGCCTGTGATTGACTTTTTGTGGGTGTGTGAGTAAAGAGATGACACATTGCCTGCACTGTATCCACCCCCCCCCCAAATTGATGATGATGACGATGAATAATGTGGGTTCACCGCAGCGTGCAGTCCAGGCAGCTGCAAGCTGGCGTCAGCCAGTGCGGGCGCGCGACGGTGGTCTCGCACGACCTCCATCTAACCTCATCCGCCCGAAGACGGACCCCGCCTGGCGGGGCGCCACGAGCACGAGCCGCCGCCCTCGCCGCTCAGAGGACTGTACTCTGAAACACAACAACACAGATCAACTGGATTTTGAGAGCGCGCCGTAGGCGGAGTCGTGCGTGCGAGTCGTACTCGGGGCCACCTTCGCATCATTTCGCACGTCGACGGCGATCCCTCCGCTTTGCGCGGGAACAAGCTCGCGCTTCGATTTACCGGCGCATAGAACGCATTTTAAGCCCGACCGCCGTTTCAAGAACTCTCCTAGTCGCCTCCCCCCACCAAAACCAAACACCGTATTTGTTTTGGTGATTGATTTCGTCCGCCCGACTGTCGACTGCCCCCAAAGTGACCGAGGTGGGCGGCCGAACCCGAGCCGCGGCGTTCCAAATGAGCGGCGGCTACAGTGAGACGACGACCCTCGCGGCGGAGATCCAAGTGTGGAGGAGCTTCTCCTCGCCGGCCTTCTTTTCCAGCTGCCAAAAGGCAGTCGTCGTGATTGATTTGACACCATTGTTGCCAGAGGGAGGATATCCGGGCCGAACCAAAACACCTGACCCTCGACACGTCACGGCCACCGGATCAGATCCTGTGCCGGAATGTTCCGAGTGATGAGCGCTCGTCAATTTGAACACCGACTCTCTCGTCTTTGGCCTGCGTTCCACTGATTGGAGGTTGAAGAGGATTTGCGAATTATCGTATTCTGATACGACACCGCGACTTGACCGCCTTCGGGGCTCGCGTGATCCGTCTAATTTCATGAACCCCCGAGTAGCGAGCGGCAAGCAACACAAGACGGCAGCAAAGGTCTGAGATGGCGGCGATGCGAAACCCACGTTGCGTGGGCCGAATGACGTCTTCAGAGGTGTCAATGTCCCCACACGGTAGGCTGATCCCTCGCATTATCTTGCATACCAGCCGAAATGGGAGACAGAAACCCCCCCCCCCCGCCCCCAAGTCCAAAAAAAAAAAAAAACCTGGGCCGACGTGAATTTGCAAATGCCAAAGAGGGACGACGCGGGGTTCCTTGCATTTTTGGCGTGTAGCCCCGAGTGGAAAACGCAAGCGGCCGTTGTGCGATTGTGACAAGAAGCCGTGCGTGCGGCCATTTACCGGAGCTGCGTAGCGGCTTCTTGTCGCTCTTGGGTTTGGCCGCGGAGCCGGACGGGGCGCCTTCGTCGCGGTTCTGCAGAGTTTGGAAAACACGGGCGCATGTCACAAGGGGAACGTGACCACGCACAACATGATTGGAATACAGCTGTGTCAATTCAATTCGTTTTTAGTCGCTTCGATTTTCTTTTTTTGGGGGGCG